AAAAAAAAAAAAAAAGAGTGGACCAAAACAAAACAGCCGTATTCTCAGAATACGTTTTCTTAAAAAAAATTAATCAAGAAAACGTATTCCGAGAATACGTTTTTAAAAAAAAAAGTAAAATTAATTTTTTTTTTAAAAAAACATTTTAAAAAAAAGGCAAATAATAATTAAAATGTATTTTTCTAAAACGTAATTTGAAAATACGTTTTAAAGCAAAACGTATTATGAAAATACGTTTCAAGAGAAAAATAATTTTTTTTGAAAAAAATAATATTTTTATTAAACCGTATTCTCAAAATATGTTTTACAATTAAATTGTCGGTAAACGTATTCTGAGAATACGTTTTTTACGTTTAATATAAAAAAAAAAATCTCTTCCTCTCCTTCATTCACGCAGAAACACGAACAGAAACGAAAAAAAAAAGAGGGCAAGAGCGATTTTTTAGTGTGAAAAAAAAAAATCGATCCAATCTTCATCCCGGCGTGAACCGACAACACCGACACGAGTCTCATTTTCAGTTAATTCATTCGCACGAGGTATATTGTCTTATCTTTACTTTTTACATTATTTGAAGTTGTTTATAAATTGAGGATTGGTATAATATGTTTGAATGTGGTGGTATTAGAAGATTGAAAATTGCAAATTGATTATGGATTATGTGTGTATGTTGAATTGATGATTGAAATTTTGTGTGTAAATTGTCAATTATGTATTGTTTTGTTGTTGTTGTTGGGATTAGGGTTTTTCGAAATTAGGGTTAGAATTAGGGGTTTCAATTTATTCGAATTATAGATGAATTTTATGTTATTGTTGGATTATGAGTTTAATGGTTTTGGATGATTATTTGATTGGGGCTTTTTTGTTATTTTTTATTTTTTGTTGGAGAGTAAAAATTGAGTTTTTTTGGAAAAAGAATTGAAAGTGTTTATTTGCAACAGGTATAAAATGGCCTATCCCGGTCCCGGTCCATACCTTGTTAATTTGTACTGGCATTTTGGGAAGGAAATGTTAAACGATTTTGTTTCATTTAAAGATCGTCCGAGTGGTTCATTTATAATTCCGGGGAGGATATCATATGAACAGTTGGTACAGATGATTAATGAAAAATGTCAGTTTGAAGAAGGTTGGACAATTCAGGAGATTACTATGATGATTAGTCAACCTGATGGTTCGTGGAATCCCGCAATACTCAATAACGATAGTTTTGAATGGATTTATTACTTTCCTAGTATGTCCATGGTGTATTTGCATTTATCGTTGCAGGCAAATACACCCGTTACACAGTTTGAGGATTTTACTCCTTGTTACGGCGGAGTGTTTGATGTCGAGGGTACATCGACTTCTCATGTACCTAATTTTGGAGAAGGGACATCGAGAGAATGGGCGACGGATGAGGACGATGAAGATTTTATTCCCGGTGAAGATGACTTCACAGACGAAACCTCAGAAACCGAATCAGATAGATCGGTTAATGAGGAGAGTGAAGCCGAGTTCATGGAAGAAGAACACACATTTCCTATTGGTGGTCGGCACATATACCGCGAGATGGGTGAATGGGACCCGTCCAGGATAGATGCGAACGAGTATGCTATTCCACGGTGGAATGGCGACATTGAGACCATACGTTTGGGTACAGTTTTCCGGAGCAAGCAAGAAGCCCAAACAGGTCTAATGGCTTGGAACGTCGATAGGTTGCGGGAGGTTCGGTCAAAAGATTCAAATCAGAAGACATTCAAACTGGTCTACAAATCGAAAGCAGATGCAGATGTGCCTTGTCTGTGGAAGGCTCGGGTGAATAAGTCCAGACGGCATGATGATTTGTGGGAAGTAACTGAATGGATTGACCAACACACTTACATGCAACAGGTCGACAGAAATGACCAAAGAAACGTGACTGCCCATATGATTGCGAATCTTATAATAAATAAGATTCAGAAGAAAGTGGAGTACAACGTTAACATTGTCCAGGCTGATGTGAAGCAGTGTTGGAAAGTCGACGTCAGTTACAAGAAGGCATGGCACGACAAAAAAAAAAAAGCAATCGAGTGTGTGTACGGCAGTTGGGAGTCGAACTTCGCAGAACTTCCTCAGTAAGCAAAAATTAATTACAAATATACGTGTTTTTTGTCTGTCAGTATGTTTATTTATTTATGAAATTGTTTTGTATTGTATAGATATTTTGCCGCGCTTCAAAGAGCGAATCCCAACACAGCTGTAGATTGGGAATTTCAGGGTGGTGATGTGGCTCGACACGTTCCAGACAGAGAATTTAAATATGTGTTCTGGGCGTTTGGTCCCGCGATTCGAACCTTCGAAATGTGCCCGCCGGTTATTAGCGTTGATGGCACACATTTACGTGGACATTACAAAGGGAAATTGCTCGTGGTCGTAGCACAAACTGCGAATAAGCGGCTATTGCTAATCGCGTATGCGCTTGTCGACGAAGAAAGCACGGGCAGTTGGTCATTTTTCCTTAGGAATCTGTGACGATATGTTGTATTCGACAGACAGATATGCGTTCTTTCTGACAGGGATGTGGGTCTACTCAGTGCGATTGAATCATTACCGGATTGGCAAGAACCCGCTGCGTATCACCGGATTTGCCTTCGACACCTTCGAAGCAACGTGGTGACTCGGTTCAGGAGTAAGAAAATCCAGGATTGGTGTTGGGAGTTGGGTTCGCAGTTGTCGAAGCAAAAGTTTCGACAGACAAAACAGCGACTTCAAGAACTTAATCCCGACGCATACAATTATCTTTTCAACATTCCTTTGAACCTGTGGACCCTGTATCGAGATGAAAAACGTAGATGGGGCACTTTGACAACGAATATGTCGGAGAGTTACAACAATGTCCTGAAAGGGGTTAGGTTCCTGCCGTGCAGAGCTTTGGTAGAGGCCACATTTCAAAAAACTTTGGATTTATTTCGACAAGAACAAAACAAAGCCAGCAGATGCAGGAGTCCCATTGCTCATTTGCACTATGTCGCATTTTTGCAGTTGGAGCAAACTGCCGCAACTCACGAGGTGGAATGTACGGACTACGGCAGATCGATGTACGCGGTGACAACCGGTCTACGCGCTAGTGGAAGAGGGCAAAACAAGTAAATATATGTTTTTTTTTTTTCATTCATTTTTTTTTTTTTTGTATAAATGTTGAAATACAGGTATAAAGTTGATTACCCCGGACAACGTTGCAGTTGTCGGAAGTGGCAGACGCATAGAAAACCGTGTTCTCATGCAATAGCCGTCTGTCGTAGAATTGAGGGTGACCCAAAGCTGTTGTACGATGATCACTTCTGGACGTCGACCTGGGTAGCTCAATTTACTAATTGGAGTTTTACTCCGATTGGTAATCCGGATACATGGCCGCCGGTGGGATGGAATTTAATTCCACACCGGGAGAGGATCATCTTGAAGCCTGGACCCGGTCGCAAGCAGACGAGACGCTACCGCATGCAAATGGATCATCGGGCACGACGCAGAAATGAGAGGGGGCATTGTACTAGATGCGGTGATCCAGAGCATGTTGTGGATGAGTGTCCCTCCTCATATCCTCGCAGTGATAGGTCTAGACTTCGTGATGTGTGGGGAGATTAGATTTTTTAGTGTTTATTTGGATTTGTTTGGATTGTTCTTTTGGATTTCGTTGGATTATTTATTTTGTTATGTTTGTATGATTTATTTGGACTTGGTTTGATGGTACTTATGGTACATTAGTTGATTTGCTCGTGTAATTTTGGTGTAGCTGGTTGTTTGGAATATACATAGAAAAGTGTAAAAGGACGAAAAATGACAAAATCGAGCTGCAGTTGGGTCACACGACTCGTGTGAGTAGATGACACGAGTCGTGTGGCTAAAAGATAATGAAATTTCAGCTACGAATTTTTCACACGGGTCGTGTGTCTCGTGACACGAGTCGTGTGACGTCACACGACCCGTGTGAGTTGTCGTGTGAGGGGTCGTGTGAGTCTGGGAGTTTTTTTTTTTTTAACTAAAAACGGATTCTAAGAATCCGTTTTTTAAATAAAAAAAATAGCAGAGGCTCCCAGATTGAGGACTCGAACCCGGATCTATGGGTGAGTCCGGTTTCTCTGGGCGCACCTCGTACCATTGAAGTCAATTTCGTACAATTGAAGTCAACTTCGTACAATTTAAGTCAATTTCGTACAATTGAAGTCAACTTCGTACAATTGAAGTCAACTTCGTACAATTGAAGTCAACTTCGTACAATTGAAGTCAATTTCATACAATTGAAGTCAATTTCGTACAATTGAAGTCAACTTCGTACAAAGTCAATTTCGTACAATTGAAGTCAACTTCGTACAATTGAAGTCAATTTCGTACAATTGAAGTCAACTTCGTACAATTGAAGTCAATTTCATACAATTGAAGTCAATTTCGTACAATTGAAGTCAACTTCGTACAATTGAAGTCAATTTCATAAAATTGAAGTCAATTTCGTACAATTGAAGTCAACTTCGTACAATTGAAGTCAACTTCGTACAATTGAAGTCAATTTCATACAATTGAAGTCAATTTCATACAATTGAAGTCAATTTCGTACAATTGAAGTCAATTTTATACAATTGAAGTCAATTTCGTACAATTGAAGTCAACTTCGTAC